ATTTTCTCTTTATCTTTGTTAAACTTTATCTGTTGCATCTGTCTCCTTAAAGGTATCGTTTACACCTACGCGTCGTGTGGAATGGACATGAAATTTCTACCCGATGGAGGATGAGCTTTCAATTTCTCCCTTCTGACACTCACCCCTCCCGTAAGTGTCTTTCTTTTGTCACTCTCTCTCTCTCTCTCTTTCTCTCTTTCTCTCTCTCTCTCTTTTATTCTCGCTGTCTTTCTCCCTATTTTCCCCTATACGCGTAAACAGTGTATAATTGTATTATTTGTAGACGAGTTGTGCATGGAGGTACCTCGAGGGGCACACAGGCTAAAGGTCATATTCCCACTTTCCGTCTGTGACAATTAGACGGCGGATTTTATGCATTATTACGTATTAACAAACTGAGTGCATATAGAATATAAAGTAACGTTCGCGAGGATTCAAGGATGCTGTCACTTTAGTTTCAACCGATTAAGATCCTTAAGGGAAGATATTCGGTCTCGTTCAACCTTTGTTCCTTTAGATTCTTTGTTTCTTTAGAAATATCTCTTTCGCACGAAGATCCGCTGTCTACCGATAATCTACGCCGTTCTCGTCGAAGGCGACGCGTCAATCGTGGACCGCGGATCGGATGAATTGCAATGAAAAAAAAGAAATTCCCTTTCTCAACAGGTTTCGACGGGCTGACACGACGATTACAAGAAACAATGGAACGATTCAGATTTCCGTTTTATTGCATTCAGAAGACCCTTGGAAGCCGCCGACGCACGAGAATCCGCGGTCCAGCTAACAATCGCGTCGGTAATTATCAAACATTGCACGGGTTTGCTATTGCACGACTTGTGTGTGTTAATTATTGCACTGTTCAGTTCCTCGTTCCCTCTTAACCCGTTTGGCACTTGTGTCGTCTTCCCGAGTCGACTGGATTCAACCCTTCGCGTCCTGAATGTACTTCGCCGCACCGTTTCCGAGAAAACACGAACGCGAGTGTCTCTGAATTCTCCGTTCCAATGCAATCTAATTCAAATGACATGCATACCCTAACAACGAATAAAACGTACGCGTTACTCAACAGTAGAACTACCAGACGTCTCAATAACTCCACAATTTTTCTCTTACAATCATCCAAATTAGAATCCTCCCAAAACTTAAAATCCATTGATATACTTTTACAAACAGAACAGTAGAAGCCTCTTTGAAACCAAATATATTCGACAAACTCCAAGAATAATTCCAATTTCTATAAGAACCTCTAAATAATCCTCTTCATTCGCTCGGTAGTCCTAGTGTTCAAAGCATCTCAATAAAGACAACAACAACAAATAAGATACAAATCATTCAGGACACAAAGGGTCGCCAAAGCTTCTGTTGACACTTTCATTTGCTCGTTTCAGTCGGATCGAAGCTATGCCAAGGATCAAGACCGATCCTCCCGAGGATCCAAGACGATCGCGGGTTAAGAACGACCGCGATCCGTCCCCGAGGATCTTCGGAAGCGGAGCTCCTCGCGCCGGAACGTTTGGTAAGTCTTCTCTCGTTCTTCCGTTCGCTCTTCTGTTTCCCCTCTTTCCCCTTCCGTTTCGTTGCTCTTCGAACTGGCTCTGTTTTTAGGCTCACGCACACGCGGCGCCGCTCGCAGCCTCCGCCGCCCTGATTCACCGAAGACACCTCCAATCACAACGGCGATGATCGATGCGACGATCGGACGACTCGGGACGAGCCTCCAGTCCGCCGAGAGGGAACAACCTCGTCGTCCGACCGCTCGATATCGCGTCCAAGGTACTGCTCCCGGTTAGCTGCTGCTGCTGTTTTTGTTATGCTGTTGTGTTTGCTGGCTGGATCCTACGGAATCTAGAAGTCTAACGGCTGATCGGCGGACCCCTCGAGGTCCTGGGCGGAGTCCGTGCCGCCGTCTTCGTCGTCGTCCAGGTCCACGCTGTTGGTCTTCAGGCCGCCGTTGCTGATCTTGTTGACGATCGTGTCTGGAATGCGATTGTAGCGTTGGTCAATGGTGTCTCGAGGTTCTCGTACGCGTTGAAACTTAGGCATCGCTACAATGTTGAGTCTTCCAAAGTTTTATGATACATGTTGCACTCAGAATAAGCGAGAAAGGCTCAAGCTTGTAGCGGTGTCCGCAAGTTTCAATGGATGAGGGTCTTTAGAGTACTTAAGATATTATTTAACACGTTGAATGCCGCACAATTTTGTAAAGCAATATACAAAATGTGTAATCTGATTGCATTATTATTGTTACACGTTCTAGCTGAATGTCACGGAATTAGGTAATGTTATTTGTATTATAGAAATGATAGAAACAAAGAATTGTTTCTAAATAATCGTTTCACTGAACTACAGTAATTCTGAGAAAAATGATTGCCTACAAAAATTGTGCGTACCATAAATGGTACACGTGGTATACAACGTGTTAGATAGTGAGCAGTAGACGGAGCAGACAAGCGATAGATAGTTCCTAGGAACATAGTCGAGGGTAATATCTGTTCAGCGACCTTGGGCGAACGTTTTCTGCCGGGAGGAATGCGAAGCTGGAATATTGCGAGTTCGCTGCGGCGTGTAATGTTCCAAACGCTGACTATCGTCGAGCGATCGTCAAACTTACCGCAGTCTGGTTTGCTGCCACGTGTTCTGGTACCGGCGAACTCGACGCCATGGGGGTCGACGCACCAGCAAAGACCGAGGCCACGATTGCATTGGGTGCTTCGGTAATAGCCTCTTGAGTCGCAGGCGGGCGCCACGTCGGGGGATAATCGTTTACGGACGGCGGCGCACGGACGCTCGGCTTTTGAGAAACATCCGCACCATTCGGGACCGTTCACGAAGATGTCTCTGAAATGGACGAATTAAAAATACTTCACTGACAATTTTAACTCTTCCCGAGAAGCACTTCGTCTTTGACGATGGACAGTGCGTCAGTGTTCTTCGAGTCAAGTGTATATAGATTAACATTAGAACTACCGATCTTTTCAAAATGTCTTTATAATTTAAGTGATATAAATATAATGTAAAATGTCTTTTGAATTTGTTGAGATTTCAACTGGCTTATATTTCAGTTTATTACTGAATTAATTTCATTAATAATTTCTTAAGGAAGTCTCTGTACCTTTGCAGTAATTGTAAGAGAAGAAATTAGGAATTGGCCATTTTCACATATCTGGTAGTTCTAGTGTTATATAGCACTTTGTTTATTTGAAACTCGAGAACCACTGAAATTGTACTTTTATAAAAATACTTCTGTAGTTGAAAAGAATTTGAACATAGAGGTTTCGTTTTTGTACTAGTATCATTGATGTCAGTCTTTGTCTGCGACATTCAAACTCGCATCGGAAACAATTACACAGTAATCAAATTGAGTGCGACGTTTCTGCGTAATGTGTTCCATCTCGATAAAGTACCTGCTGTATCTGAGCAATAAAGGTCGCGCAGTAAAGCAGAGAGTAAAGCGGTTAGTTAAGTAGTAAACTGACTTGTATACGCAAACGACGAGAAGAGAGATTGATATTATATGGCGAGTATGTGTATATGATCCCATGACCTGCTGAGTATGGTCATAACCAGTTCACCCTCTGACTGCCACGTCACTCAAATATAGATGAAACCATTTCTTATATACACTACATTAATTTCCTTAGTAACCCAACGAATGAACCAAATTTCGTTGAATATATGATACATAACGATACTAGAGCAATCTCTATAAAAAATCTTGACTGTTTTATTTCTGCTTTATCAAGACAACTTTCATATAAGCTTCGGTGACTTCACTTCACTTCACTTCACTTCGGTGAATACACCAAACAACAGACCAATCAATATTCTACCAAGAGTTGAGAAACAAGTAGAAACAATACTGGTTCCTCAACGAATCTAGAGGCTTTCTACGAATCCAAAGGTCACTGCTTTATTCTCTCAGCCACGATTGATGACTCGACATAGGACTGCCAAGGGCTAATACACCAAACAATAGACCAATCAATATTCTACCAAGAGTTGAGAAACAAGTAGAAACAATACTGGTTCCTCAACGAATCTAGAGGCTTTCTACGAATCCAAAGGTCACTGCTTTATTCTATCAGCCACGATTGATGACTCGACATAGGACTGCTAAGGGTTAATACACCAAACAATAGACCAATCAATATTCCAACAAGAGTTGAAAAATAAGTAGAAACAATACTGGTTCCTGAAAGAATCTAGAGGCTTTCTACGAATCCAAAGGTCACTGGTTTATTGCTCTCAGCCACGATTGATCTATCTTAATTGAACAATAACATAGCTGATCCCCGACGTACCCTTTCAGACGCCGGAACCAATGTACACCAGACCGAGGCTTCACACATATCCATAGAATCAGTCTCTCCCTAACAACCAGTCAGCTACTTGGTCGGCAGGCACGTACGCTCGAGACCTATTACACTCGAGCGTCGGAACGGCCCGGCCCGCCTTCCGCTCGCGGTATTAAAAACTGAAAGGGTTTCTCGTTCCCTTTTCGGGTCACGTATCCCGCGAGTTTAATGATTTACAAGCAAACGGCCGGGCCGGGAATTACGTAAAGGGAAGAAAAATTCGTCGCGGTGTGACAAACGGATTACAACACAGCCGGGACCTCTCTCTACGTGAACGGAATCACTTGGGGTCGTTCCCGCCCTCTTAACACACTGCCGACGAGCTTCACTGGAATTGGGTGTTACGGAGAGCCAGCTGAATCGTTGGTCATCCAGGAATATGTGTGGAGCACTCGAGTACACGAGTACGTGTCCTGCGATTTGATAGTTTTCTAACTGCCAACGTTTTGCATCTCATAGTTTTACACTAGAAACATTGAATATCATCTGATGAGAGGGGTTGTTCTTTGAAACGTATATAAATTGAGAAACAAAGTTGTAGACTTATGAGCATTAGTCATTTGTTTCTTTGGAATATTGTTAGTAGGATTATTTGATTGTTTGCCTCTTAAGGTTCTTAGTTTAGTTTTTCACTAGAAATATTGAATATCATCTGATGAGAGGGGTTGTTCTTTGAAACGTATATAAATTGAGAAACAGTTATAGGCTTATGAGCATTAGTCATTTCTTTCTCTGGAATATTGTTAGTAGGATTATTTGATTATTTGCCTTTTAAGATTCTTAGTTCAGTTCTTCACTAGAAATTCATAAGGAAATGTATATAAATTGAGAAACAAAGCTGTAGCCTTGTGAGTAGTCATTTCTTTCTTTGCAATACTGTTAATCAGTAGTTTGATAGGATCTTCTATTAAGAATCTTTAACTTTGGTAAATAACAGAGACAAGCTTAAATGAATGTTCCTATATTACACTGTACCATATTGTATCATCATCTAACAATACGCGTTAATACCTATGTCTGACACAATACCCTCCATTACTACTGAACACAGACTCGAGCAACACATCTACTGTACAACGCTATGAACTCTATAAAAACAAATATTTTCATCCAGGAAAAATCCTATACGTTCTCGAGACTAGTATTAATCAATATCTACAGTGTACAACATATAACTTCAGCAGTTCTCATGAAAAAAAATTCCTAAAAATGGCTTCGTCGCTGGTTGGGTGTCTGACTCGCATCCCGTTACTCCTGAGTATTGGTTGGCCGGCGTTTAGTAGTGTCTCTCAATTATTTCCGAGGCGTATCGATGTAAAAGAAGAAGAAAAAAAATAGGTTACAGGGACACGTCTTTCCACGTGGATAGAATTAGGAGTCGCGTTCCTCACCCGTCAGTGTCGCAGCCGTCGAGGAACGGTTTCAGACACGGCTCGTTCTGATCGTGCTCCAGCCCGTACAACTCGGAAAGGGAGAGTCGGCCGTCGTTGTCGCTGTCCAAATGTCCGAACATCCACCTGACCTCGCTCTGGCAACCGATGGGGAAGTGACCTGGAAACGGCAGCCTGTGAAATATGAATTCGACTGGCCGCGTCTCTGCGGACGGAATAAAACTGAAATCTCGTTCGCCGGGAAATGCTCCCAGCACCTAGATTGCATTGATACAGCCTTTTATTTCTTTTGTTCCCCCGTCTTTTTTGTTCTTTAGCATTCTCATTTATCGTTCCTCTCGCGCTTATTGCGACTACTATTATATAGCTAGTTCAATTATTTCAATAGCTAATACTTTTCTATATTTTCTATATTATATTATATTATATTTTATATTTTCTATACTAACGTTTTCTGTATTTTCACTATTTCGATTACTCTATTATTCCTTTGTACTCCGAAGTTTTCCACTAGAAATATTTCAACATTTTCTGATGAGATATTTTGTAAAAGCAACTCGAAATTCACGTGAATTGACGGACAAAGCTATTTCACGTCAATATTTCTCAGATCGATGCATTATAGGGAGTATAATATTAAATATCAAACTTTATAGCTTCACTGTGGGAAATCAAGTGGTGACTGAGAGTTTCGAGTGCAAAGGGTTATAATAAATTTCATTTCCATCAAATGTCCACTCCGACTGAGACAATCTCGAAAGCTACTTACAGTCTAATTAACCCTCTATGGGCCGAATTTTTGTTCACGATTGTAACAAAATCTATAGAAAATAATAATTGTAATAGTTTCAATAATTTCATCAAACAAATATATTCTGTAACTTCCAAGTTACAATGACGGTAAACTTTCACTGAGCATATGAAAGTTTAAGTTGGTTACTTAATTTTACTCACCACTTTGAGTGCAAAATGAAATAAATCAAAAAGACGTCAATACACTGACATGTCACTTCAAAGTCACACAGGCCTACAGAGGGATAATAAAACAATTAGCGACAATTCCTACAAATCAATGAAACTTAAAGCTCCGATCGAAAGGATGCCGTCGAAGTTCGAAAAATCGCAAAATACCGGAGGACCTTGATCCCCGAAATAACTCGGTAGGTTCCCAGTAGTTGCGGCGTTCCCAGCGGGGCCTTGAATCGGAATTATTGAAATTGCAGGCAATGGTAGGAGGGGCGGGTCGAGTGAAATGTAAACGAGGGGCCGCGCGACTGTTGTTCGAATTTGACCAATCGTCTGTCCCGCAACTGCGACAGAGGGGTCGCGAGATCACAGGGAACGGGAACAGACAGCGAGGAAGAGGCGCGCGAGGCGAGAGGCCGGCCGAGGGGTGGCGAGGGGCAGGGAGCCAGAGGGGCGGAACGGTACAGGCCGGGAGAACAATATCGCAGGAGACACGGGGGCAAAGTAATCGCAGTGGATCTCGACGGGAAGCGATTCATTCTAACGGGACAATTCCGAACTGGTACGAAAGTGATTGTACCGAAGTCGAATAGCGTGCAGTGACGTGAGGCAGTTCCGAAACTGTAATGTCCAGGACCCGGCCTGGCCCGGCTTCGTGCGGAGCAATTAGTCTCTTGTATATTCAGCCGCCTGATCCTCCGGGGCTTGCCAATATGGCGCCTCTTACAATCTCTGTTTATATATTGCCTTCTGTGCGAGACTGTTCATCGGTTTCGCGTAAGTTTCTCATTATAATATTGAAATCTTCCTTCCCAAAAGGGAAACTTTTGGATCTTGTGGATCATTCTTTTGGTAGATAGAATTCGATGGGTGATTCGATAGTCCTTTAGTTCCGATTGGTGTTACGGGATTTGAGGTGTTTTCTATTGTTTAACCCCTTGTCCTACGAGTGAGGCCCGTGGTGAAGATTATTATATATTACTTAGTTAATTCGAATTCAAAGTAAATATTATTCCTCTGTGATCAACTATTATACTTAAAAGGAAATATAGGAATAACATATGCTTAGAATTTTTCTCTTTTCCCAATAAATCATTCATGACAAAGTAGCCGTATCGATGAGGGTCGAGAAAGAAATCATAGGTCAAGGGGTTAACGAGAAGTTGAAGCTTGTCATTGGAGAATAGAGATCGGAGCTTAGTTTCTGATTATTGTTCTGGATTTTGTACTGTACTATTTCTGAGATGTCAGAGTCTATTTTGCTTATGAATATTTTAGGTTGCACAGCGAAGTGTTGTAGACTCCTGTGACTGTAGGGGTTGTATTCATGTAAATGTTGAGACCTTTCGGTTTAGGACGGGGACGACGGTGTTTGGAGTCGGACATCACCACGGAGAACCAGTCCAGCAGACGATTCGCCATTGCCGGCTTGAACGTCGGCGGGCACTCAGCGTTGCGGGACAACTGGGAGTTGTAAGTCGACTTCAACGGGGACGGCGTTTTCTCCATAACTTCGTTGCTCATCAGGTGCTTGTCGTCGTATTTGCTTTCGGCAGCCAGCGCCTGGAAAAAAACGAGGCGAACCAAAATGAAATGGGACCATATAAACGCAGGGAAATATAAATGATGTCACTTTAGCACTCTAGTGCGATTAAATAAAATGCCCTTTACCATCCCTATCCCTTCCTTAGATATTAATATCAATAAATCTAACGAAGACCAAAGCAAAACCTTTCATTTTTCATGATTAATTTATGTTGATGATATCGACAAGTGAGCTTTCGAGCTTTTGAGCGCAGAGCCCGTGGCCTTGAGAGCTTTTGAGCACAAAATCTAGAGATTTCGAGCTTTTGAGCCATTTTTCAGGCGGTAAATGATACGAAAACTCGAAAACCCAGAGCTTTTTAAGTTTGAGCACGTAGATGTAAGAGTTGAAGAGCTTTTGAGCCATTTTCGGAAAGGTTTACTTTCCTAGAGAGTTGAAATTTAAGAATTTTTAGTTTGAGCGTCTCGAAGTTAGAGCTCTAGAGCTTTTGAGCCATTTTTGGGAGAGTCTAACTTCCCAGAGAGTTAAATTTCGAGCTTTTTTAGTTTGAGCCTCGAAAAGTTAGAGATTTAGAGCTTTTGAGTCATTTTTGGAAGAGCTTAACTTAGTGGAGAGTTACATTTCGAGCTTTTTTAGTTTGAGCCTCACGGTGTTAGATCTTTTGAGCCATTTTTCGGAAGGCTTACTTTCCTAGAGAGTTGAAATTTAAGATTTTTTAGTATGAGCCTCGCGAAGTTAGAGATTTAGAGCTTTTGAGCCATTTTTGGGAGAAATTTATATCCCACAGAGATAAAAATTGGAGCTTTTTAGTTTGAGCATGTAGATCTAAGCTTTTGAGCCATTTTTGCGAGATCTTAAGTCCCTAGAGATATAAAATTGGAGCTTTTTTAGTTTGAGCACGTAGATCTAAGAGCTTTCGAGCTTTTGAGCCATTTTTTGGAGCCCTACGAATACTTAATCGCGAAAACTGATAACTGCTTTCGTTTCAGCACGTAAATTTAAGAGTTTGCGTGCTTTTGAGTCGCTTTCGAGGGTACTCAAATGCTGAAATCTCTGATGTATTGACTTGACTTTATTTCTAAGACCTGGAAAAATGAGTTTTCGAGCATTAGAGCAATTTCCGACGAACGCTCAAATATCTGATGTTTCAAATCGATCACGCCCCGAGTTCCCTTAACCGTCTCCGTCAGTGGTAAAATCCACCATGAGCGAAACAAACGAATTCCACTGATCCTCTCCGCTCCTGCTCGCCGGACGCATCTCCCGGCTCCCCGGTTGCCAATCCGCGATCCCCTCCCTTTCATAAAACAAACACATCCGACTCCTCCATACTAAATTCCAATTACGGGATTACGCTCGCCCTCGAGTCGGAACTGTACCACGGAGTTTAAGGGCCGCCGGAAAGTATTCCGTCCGTCGTTGCCAGCGCGGGACAACGGGCGGCGAGCGGGGCGGGCGAGGGATTAAAATCCGGGGAGCCGAGCGATCCGTCTTAGCCGCGTCTCGTGTGCGTCGCCAAGTTACGGGTACCAGCCGACCGTAACGATATTACGGCTCCCCATCGTCTGGCGACGTTTCTACGACGGATCGATGACGGGGACGCCTCTCGCGTCTGGTCTCCACGAAAATACGAGCCATCGACTACGGCCACGGCGAAAGGGAAGCGACGGGCGAACGGGGAAGGGGCGAGTTCGGCTCGACCAATAACAGCCTTACTCCTGGCTTCTTCGGAAGATGCTGTTCGCCGTCATCGTAAAGGACCCTGGGATCACATGACTCCCCGCGTCGAGGCCGGCATCCACTGGAATCGTAACTCGGCTATTATTGTTTCCCTTCGGAAATAATGTCTGAACCACTCGGAGGGTCGGGATCATCTGATCCGAGCCTCCCGATGCCTGTCGGGTCGAGAATGACCCGCTAGGCTGCGCTGGATTCGCCTCGGAGTGGGGATTCGTTAGTACTGGAACTACCGTATCAGTTGAAATGACTGATTTCGATTTTTGTTTCGCAGTTATTAGCACTCCACAGTTTTGTGATGTCAGCAACTCCTACCAATTTTGATAGTAGTCCTACTAAAAATGTTATAACATTTAGACCTTTAATTCCCTTCTCAGCAAAAACTTTCCATATTTGGAAGATCTGATAATCTGAAGGTAGTTCTCTTAAAATTCATTGAGATATTTAATATTACTGGTGCGATATTGGAGTGCATAGAGTTAATATAGAGTTTAATATTACTGGTAATATAGAGTTCAAAGGGTTAATACCTTAAAAGCATTGAATATCCGAAATGATTTTTAAAATAAATAGCTTCATTTGAGTACTATGATGAATGTCTCAAGAAACTGAAAATAATCTACTGTTACAATTTTTATAGAAATCACATATCAATCGTATTAAATGCTCGGTAGTTCTAGCGTTGGAAAACTTCATTGGAAAACTCCGTGAGAGAATTTCGCTCGTGGGTGTTCGAAAAAAATCGCCGTCTCGAATGAGTTAAAGAAAGTCGATACTGCGAGACCTCTGTTAGCTTTCGGCTCCTCTCCCCCGTTTTCCACGCAGTTTCGAGCTTTTCTTTTCCCGTCGATGGGCTCGGTGTAATGAAAAACCGGTGGCAGGATAAGTATTAATTACCAGCGCGGCGGGGAATAATTTAAAAAGCCGGCCGGGATTAATTTCGCCCCGAACTGCTCCTCGATTTAAACTCCCCGCCGCCCTTTGCCTCCCTCTCGGTCCGTTTCTCCTCGTTTCTCCTCGTTTCTTCTGTTTGCCGGCCGTTTTTCCACCTTCCATCCACTCCCGTGGCTGTTTATCTTCAATCTTCTCCGCGCGACTTATTGTTTTCGTTGGTTCGGCCGGTGTTTTCCGCGCGGAACACGCCGCGCAATGGATCGCCGGCGTGGAATCGTGTTTGGAATTCGAGGAGGATGTAGAGCGAAATTAGAAAATATTGGAGCAGGCTTTCTTCGAGTGTTGTCGGACCCTGTGCTTTCGCATTCGTCGAGTTGTGAGCTGTAGAGTCTTTGCGTGTAGGAAAAAAATAGCTGATTGTGTATGTGCAATGGTAAGTAACGATAATGAACGATTAATGGATGAGTTGGAGTATTCGGCTGAGGAAAACGTGTTTTTACTACTTGTCTGACTATAGACCGGCGTCTACTACTTCGTAAGGGTTAATATTGATATATATTACTGGCTCGCTGAGTTACAATTGGTAGTTTCGATGGTAGAAAGTAGCTCGCAATTTACATCGATGATTTAGTCTAATTTGTTCGACTCGTCTGACCTATGAATCGCCTGTACTACTTGCCTCCGCTCATAATTCTAGCTTTCCAAGGTTATCTGACTAATTCTTCTGCTTCCCCTAATTCTAATAAATAAATAATTCTAATTTTAATACTCGAGAGGTGACTCAGTCACCATTTGATTCGATACAACGAAATTACAAAGTATTATATACAATATTGAATTTCCTATAATGCATCAACACGCAAAACTTCTATAATAGCTTTGTCTCTTAATTCAGTTTTCTCATTAATTCCTTCGAAATAATGTCATCCACGTCTCATAGGAAAGTATCGAATTCCAGTGGTCTAGAGGCCGTATCAGAAATTGCTCGGAGCGCAAGGGGTTGAAGTCCAAAACATCCAAGAAAATCCAGTTGCAACTAAATTATTCGACACGCCTGTAACAACCCTGTATCTCGTGATCGTTTCCTCGGCGAGCCACCCTATAGATTCTCCCTCGACTAGCAGATCGAAGCCAGCCAATCGCGATCGAACGCTCGCTGCAGCCATCGAAACTGCGAAAGGTGAGCGCGGAGGCGCACTGCGGAAGCGGGAAGCTTAGAAAAATTCGCCGGGACGAGAGCGAGAGAGAGAGGGCAAGGGTCCGGCGGGGAGGGGAGGAAAGGAATTTAAGAGCGACAAAGTGACGGATTCCGAATTTAAAAGGCATTCACCGACAAAAGCTTTTGTCCGATAACTCTTCCGGCGCTCTCGCCGCTGTCATTTGAATAGAGTAGTCGATTCAATGAACATTTCATCGGCCGTTTCGTTCCGGCGTGTCCCCCACCCGCCCCCACCCTGTCGGCCACCCTATTCCCGATTATTCAACGGCATTCGCCTTTTGTCTTAGCCACCCGGATCCATCGTGTTTCCTCCGTCTCGCTCCCGCCCGGCGTATTGTCCTTTTAAAAACGGTCCGGCCCCTACACGCTGCCACCCCCCGCGCAGCTGTGAACTTCATTTCGCGCGGGGCTTGACGGAGGAAAAGGAAAACGCGTACAGGGTGGGTCGGGAAAACTTGATACTCGAGGATTCTAGGATTTTCAGTGTACTGTGTAGGAGAGGTGTTAATACACTTTTAACCCTTTGCACTCGAGAGGTGACTCAGTCACCACTTGATTCGATTTGCAAAGTTATCAAGTCTTATATATAATATTAAGCTTTGTGTGCATCGATATATGGAATATTGAAATAAAATAACTTTCCTTCTTAATAATACTATATAATATTATTATATTATCTAATATTGAATGTTTCTAGCGAAAAACTATCGAGTGCAAAGGGTTAATACTCTTGACCCCTCCAACGCTTGTCTCCGACTGCCTTCCTCGCTGCCTTCGCGCGTCTTATTTCATTCCCAATTACTCTATCTTCCTCTTGCGCTCACCCTCTCACTCACACAGTCTAACATTCGATCCCAAAACACTCTTCATTCGTACCTCGATCTCTCAAGCTGTCACTCGGTCCCTATCGCTCGGTCATTTCACACTTTTCATTTGCACCCTAATCTTTCGCGTGCCCTACACCACTGTCGCTTGGTTATAAACATTCCTCGTTCACACCTTAATCTCTCGCATACAGTACTGTTGTGTCGCGTTCCTCCGATAGGTTATCTCGCGATGCTAGATAGTTCGCTTCGAACGCTTGTTTCTTTGTAAATGGGATCGTAGCTTTACGTTCCTCGTAAAAAGTCAGTATCTCCAGAAACATTCCCTCTTCAATTTCGTTGA